TTTGTGATAGGAGATTTGATAGTTAAAAAGTACCACAAATCAATTCTATAAGCTGTGAAACCTGTTATTGTTATGGAGTGAGGTATAACGCTCAAACAAAATTTCAAAGAGGAAAATTATGAGCTGATATGCCAGTAAAAATAAAATACATATATTCTTTAAAATTGAGAGCTTAGAATGCTCTATCTCTTCTGAGCCTTGTTTTGGTAAGTCAGTGACAACCCCAAGGTTTAGTACTGCTTACCTGAAATAAAATTAAAATTTGGCACCAGAACTAGGGGCTATCTCTGACCTGTAGCAATTGCCATGGGCCACTCTGAATGTCTTGTCCAAACCCCAGTTTTCTTCCTGTGGTCTATTTCTCCCATAAACCCACATGAGTTGAAATTCATTGTTTTTTAAGATTTATTTTTATTTATGTATGCATACAAGAACTGAGGTATAAGTCAGAGTTGTAAGGGGTGAGAGGATTCACCAGAGAAAGTGGGGAGGATAGGCAGATCTACTGAAATATGCTGCTGAGGGGAGCAGTGAGCAAGACAGGAGAGGTCTGCTGCGCTATGTGGGTCAGTTGCCTGGCAAAGGATTGAACTGTTTCAGTGGCTGACTATAGCTTGATAGTGCTGAGACTTTAACCCATAAAGCCCCACCAAGGAGGCCTATATGATCCATTTTTGATAGTGATGATGATGATATTGACCATCCCAAGTAGAAAGGGAATTAATTAAAAGAAACATTTAGAAAGCACCACACTAAAATGCCACAGCGTTTAAGAGTTTGAAATCTGGCTTTCTAAAGTGCGATTTCTGATCAAATTTCTATCTCCTCCATGAACTGATATTTTCACTAAAACTTTAAAATGATTTTTCACACAACATGTCACTCTACACTGTGAATTTCTCAATCCAAAATGGAAGGCCCTGACAAGTGGTCACTGAGTGCTTGTCATCTGGCATGTTTGAGTTGAGGTGTGCTGCCAGTGTGTAACATAAGCTGTATTTTGAAGACTTAATATGACATAAAGAATCTAAAATATTTCATTTATAATTTTAAAATTCATTACAAGTTGCATTGAGTTTTCAATTTATTGGGTTGAATATAGTATCATAATGAATTTCCCCGTTTATGCCTTTTAAAGTCGCTGTTAGAAATTTTTAATTACACATGTAATGTCTGATTTCAATGGACAGACCACTTAGCTCCTGAATATGTGCACCTGTGCCCAGTATGTATATTATAGCACATGCCTTCGACTCAGTTGCAAGCTCTTTGAGAATACGAACTAACACTTCTCTGTGAGTCCTGTTATACTTAGTAGCGCTCACAGCAGTCTGTAAACTCACGCTGACTGAATTCTTGAAAACTTTTTCTTAAAGAGTCACGTTGGCATTTTCCCCAGACCAGTGGCAGAGGTTGAGTCAGGGGCTCCTTGAGAATGTGGGCTCTGGGTTGGAGGTGCAGGTCTGAGGAGAGTGTCACCTGGAGCAGCCAGGTCATGAAGGGGCTCTGTGGGCTCCCATGGTCAAGCTCAGTTGCCTTCATGAAACATCTTCCCAGTGCCCAATGCCCAGTGCCCAGTGCTTGGTGCCCACAGACTCTGGCGCTGTCTGCCAGGTTGGCTAATCATTCACCATCTTTGGCTTCCTCCTCAGCTACCTGTGGGCAGTGACTGGTTCATGATGGACATTTCCTCTCTTCAAAGTCCTGAGGTCAGGATGTTCATGTTTTAATGAACAATGTGAAGTCCTGGTGCCTGGCCAAGGTGGAGGCATGAACATCCCAGGTGGGACCCTAAGAGGAGCTACTTTGTCCTCGCATGTCCTATTTCCAAACTCATCGTTGCTGTTCTTTCTCTTCCTTTGACCTCTGGCTCGGAACTGCTGGGAACAGAACAGAAGATGAGCATAGGAGCTGGGGAAGTTCTGCTGTCTCATCCTTTCTCGGACCCCAGCCTCAGAGAACAAGGGGAACTTCAGCGTGACCAAAGCAGCTCCCCTAGAGGCCTACGGCTCTTAGAGAAATGGACCCCACACTTCTCCCAGAGCAGAGCCAAAACCCAAGGAAAGTCCCTTGACTTCTCTCCTCCCTGACCCACGTCACAAATTTCGCTCCAATTTCCCCTTTGAATCTCTTTCCTCTGAGCATGGAGCTCCGCAGTGCTCCCTAAGTGTTCTAATAAATCATTAAAAAACAGAGAGACAAATATGCTCACTTATGTGCAATAATATTCATGTTTTAAATTTTCATTTTCATAGACAATTAAGTAATCCACTCACCTTTTTTTCAGATAAGTAATATGATTTCCAGAAAGTCAAGGGATAACTGGAACTAGAATCCAGGTTTTTGACTTCTAGCCAAAGCAATGTTCATGCCTTTATGCTGCCTTCTTAACACTCTTTTTATACTTCAGTGGCAAGGATACTCACTTCCAGATTGAGGGATTGCCAAAATGTATTTCATTCCATTGAATTTATTATTTATCTTGTGGCCTGACTAGTCCCATCTTTGTACCAAGGGAATTTGTTTAAATAATGTAATAGTTTATTTTTACATCATTTTGTGCCTTTTCCCATCTCAGTTGTAATCTCCATGGGCTTCCCATCACCAAATCACCCATGTGCCATCACCATAGTTCAGTGTATTTCCCTCCCCCCACTGTTCTTGATCCCATTCCCCACTCCACCCCCGTAAAATGTCTCTGGTATATAGTTGCCAATGATTTTTAATGTTTTCTTCTGCTTATCTATTTTAGCTTATATCCTACAATGCTTATGTATAAGTAAATAAAAACATCTAAAATCAAATTTTTTTAAAGATTTATTTATTTTATTCATACAGAACTAGGGTACAGGCCAGAGATGCGGAGGGTGAGAGAATTCACCAGGGACAGAGTGGGGAGCAGAACAGGCAGATCAAGAAGTACACTGCTGAGGGGAGCAGCGGGCGGGCCAGGAGAGGTCCACCACACCATATGGTCACCTCTGGGGCAGGGGGGGATCGAACTCATGCGGAAGTGGCTTGAGCTTCTTAGTGCAGTGCTTTAACCCGCTGCGCCACCAGGGAGGGCCTAAAATAAAACTTTTAATTAAGCAAAGCAGATATCTTTCAGAAAGCAAAATTAGGCCTTATTTCTCTAACTTGCTTCCACATCAAATTTCAACCCCCATCAAAGCTCTCAATAGAAAGAAGCAATGTGAATTACCATCATCCACAAGGCCAGGGAGATTTGATTTTTCTGGTGTCGGGTGGACTTGAGAAAGAGCAGTTATTTTCGCGCAATAGCACTGTGAGCTGGGTAGGACTTCCTCTCCCCACTGGGGGCGCTATCAGCACACATTTGCTGCCACTAAACCACAGAATTGCTTTGCTGGGGGACAGGTGATTAGGCAGAAGACAGTGACGCCAACATGGTTCAAGATGAGGAATGAACCACCTCTCCACTCAGTACACCTGTTAGCCCCAGAGAAACTCCTCTTCCAAGCACTTCCTGTAATAAACCCCAGATCACGCTCAGGCCGTGCCTTGCATTTCTTGCATTTTGTTCTTCGCCAGCCCTTCCATGTTATACGCAGTTGGCTATTACCTGATACTTGTGACTCTGCCCTCTGAGTCTCTTGGACTAGAGAAATTACAGGTACAGGAGGCTGATGCACTATTACTCCACCTCAAACTACCAGCGGCCAAAGCCAGCTCAGGGAATTCACTCCCCTCAGCTGTATTGGTCTTTTAAGGACTACACCTTCGTCTCTTGTATGGGTTAGGGGTGGCTCATGGTGTATTATGAAGCTGATTTTTAGATAAAAATAAGACCTTACACATGGTTAGTGATGAAGTAAGTCTGTGAAGGTTGCTGCCTCTCAGCTTTGCCGTGGGCAAGGTGACTTCCGGTCAATATGGCAGCACTGAGGCAGTACATTACATGAATTCAGGACAGAGCCAGGGCAAAACGAAGCATATGGAGACACACTGACGTACACGTCTGCCTCTTCCCACCTCATACTTCAGAGCCAGGTGATTTGGAGAGGAAGCCAATGCCCTTCACACCAAGAACAGCTCAGATTGCTGGTGGCTGCCCAAGGCTGAGGAAGTAAAGTGCCAGAATGCAGAAGATGCAATGGCACCCGGCACCCCGCACCTCTAGAGTGTGTTTAGGATGCTACTTCACTTTCCCCTTCAGATTCTCAAGCAAATTTCCTTGCAGGCAGCCTAGCCGGAAACCAAACAGAGAAGAGGATTCTGGGAACATGGCTGAAGCTTAGGTAGGTTGACACACTACGAAACCGTGAGACCCTAAAATCCAAAGGTAGATTTTCAGATCTGTGGACCACCCAGGAGGTGTGCCAAAGTGGGTGGAGTGGCTGGAGGCAACATGGGGGTCAGGGGGACAGATAAAAAGAGCTTTCTTGGTGGTTTTCAGAATGTGTCTATAGAATAGAAAATCTAGATGGGTGCTAAGTAGACAGTATATGGTAACATGGCCAAAATTTTATAAATATGTGTCCAGATAGAAAATGCTACAATTAGTCCAAAGTTATTACTGAGAAGTACTGAAGGGCACCCAAGGGCATGTGAGTGCCTAGATTCTTCTGGATACCAAGGCTGCTCTTAGCCACACCCCAGCTTTCTCTCTTCCTCCTCTGAGCTCTCATGAGGACAAAGGAAAGGAAGCCATGCCAGGAAGGGAAAAATATGACCAGAAGCACCTCAAGGGCCCTACAGGGGAACCCCTAAAAGCACCTTCATCAGCTTCCTCCTTTGGCAGAACCAATATGTTCTGAATGTCCCAGGATGGAATGGAACAATGAGGCTTTACCCCCTCAAAGGTGTAGGCTTGTTTCAAGAAACATTTCCTCTCTGTGGGGGAGCAGTGGGTGGAGTGAGGCAATAAAAATTGGTGGAAGGCTGTTCTTTCTAAGGTCCAGATATTGAGGGGGCCTCAGCATCGACGTGGCTGAGTTTCGCTCACCCGTCCTCCGTTAGACAGATCTGCGGCACTTTCAATGGGCACTTTCTTCGGCCACATGTGCCCAGGGCTGTTCCTAGTGACCTATGGACTCTATCAGGCCATAGTGGTCTCCAGAGCTGTGATATTCAAAGACTCTCTCCTGTACCTTTCATGTCCTCCCAGGAATACAGGAAGATGGGCACAGCTGTGGAAAATATCCTACGGAGGTTTGCTGAAGGCGGTGACGGGCTCCGTCTTGATAGCTTACGAGATCAACTGCGTTAAAGGAGGATTGATGCTGATGAGCAGAGATTTGCCACCAAGGTTTATGTACCCCAAGCAGTGGCAGCACCTCACCATGTTCCTCCTCCTCACCCTCAGTGGCTGTGCAGACGTCATAAGCAAGAACCTGCTGCCTCAGAGGTGTGTGGCCCTAGAGAAAGCCACGCAGGTCCTGGGCTTCTACGTGCTCCTGCTGCTGCTGGTGACGCACAGCCAGGGCTCTGTCGGGGTGGAGCTGCAGGTGCACACGCTGCTCATCCTCGTGGTGTTCCTGCTGATGCTGGTGCTGACGGCAGAGCTCTGGGCTCCTGAGACCTCTCACCTCTCGCTCCTCGAGACCTTTCTCTTCCTGATGATGGGCTCCTGGCTGATGCAGGCGGGCTTCATTCTCTTTCAGCCGGTCTCTGGCTACCCGTGGCAGGATGATGACATCAGTGACATCATGTTTGTCACCACTTTCTTCTGCTGGCACATGGTGCTCAACGCCCTGTGCCTGCTGGGCATCTATGGCGCCTCTTTCTTTTGGCATCGCTGTTCCAGGCCCAGCTCGAAGCTGACGAGATCCAAAGGCGCCCTGTATTCCATGAGCGCCGGGGAACCCCTTTATAAGTTGCTGCAGCAGGTGGAGCAGCCAGAGCAGGATGACCAGGCGCTGGTCCTTTCAAAGAGCTCGTGCTGAGCAGGGCCTAGAGCACCTGGGGCATGGGCCAGCCCATCTCCCTCCCTGGGGCTTCTCTCCCACCAGGGCCTTGCATCCTCTTTGGTGCAGAGTGAAGGTAACGGCCATGATGGAGAGCAGTTTGTCTACATCAGCGGATGGTTCTCCTGTCCCTGAACCTGAGGTGATGAGAAGGACATAAAAAGGGGGGCGGGGGGTGCCTGATGGGGTTGGTAGGGAAAATAGGAAAGTGTAAGAATGTAGTAATGCAGTAGACTGCAGGCCTTTGCAGGGGATGACAACAAGGCCCATTGGTCGTGCTGTTCCCAGCCTTCTCATCGTCGTCACTTCCCTGAAGGAATAAAGATTTCTCACCATTCTATAAGAATCATTTGAGTCTCATCCTGATAAAGAAAGATATACCTCTCTTTGCTTCAAAAGTGGTACCACCATATGGAGTAGCATAAACAAAATATATCATTCATTTACACAGGATGTTAAAAGAATGTAAGAATTTTTTTTTTGTAATTTCACTTTATTTTTTATTTTAAGATTTGTTTATGCATACAGAATTGGGTACAGGCTAGAGGTGCAGGGTCAGTGAGAGGATTCACCGGAGACAGAGTGGGTAGCAGGACAGGCAGATCGATGAAGTGATGAAGTACACTGCTGAGGGGAGCAGGGGGTGACACAGGAGAGGTCTGCCGTGCCATGGGGGTCACCCCCTGGCTGGGGATCGGACTCATGCTGAAGCGGTTGCATCTACCTTCATAGTGCTGCGCTTTAACCTGTTGCACTATCAGGGAGGGACCTAAAAAGATGTTCTTTTTTGCCCCTTCTCCTCCACTCAATTTTAAGGATTGGCTGGCTTCATTTCAAATTCAAGGTAATAAAGTAAGACCCTACTAATGCTTAATATAGTTACATTTCAAATTTGCAAATTCAAATTTGCATAGAATTCAAATGCTCTGCTCGACTTCCTATTTTTATCCTATTCTAGCCAAAGCTCACCTATTTCACCATTTGTCAATCATAGTTCTATAATTTACTAAATACTGTCTTTGGATTTTTGAAAATTTTACTGCCAAACATCCCACAGAAAGTCGTCCAATAATCACATTTTTTACATTATTTGGTACCAACTTAAAACCTTGCCTTTATTCCTCAGTGAACCAAGCAACCCAGGAGACCTTCTCTAACAGCCTGACTAATTCTTTTGTTCTAGAGCTCATCGGCATTATACTAAATTGGCCTGGTTAATTTGTTCCTTCAGTGATTATGCTTTGCCTATTTCTGAAATAGTTTCCCTTGGGAAGATTTGCCCTCAACTTCTAATATGTAGATTCCTGAAAGATAAGGACATAACTTCAGGACAAATTACATCATTGTCTATGTATCCTCTATGGAGCATAGGTGAGACTTAATAAAGGTCTATTCACTCATACAATCACTCCTTATCCATTTCTGCTAAACATGTTGCCAGATAGGGACCAGGGTCTATAAGGTTCTAGAAGACAATGATAGCCTACGCCTGATCATCAGCTTGGTTATCGGCTGATAACCTATATAGGCCAGCTCTCTCTTCCTCCTTCTTGGGATAACAAAACCCACTACCTGTTTCTGAATTGATTATGGTGTTATTTTTTTTAAGATTTATTTATTTATTCATACAGAACTGGGGTATAGGCCAGAGATGTGGAGGGTGAGAGGATTCACCAGAGACAGATCGGGGAGCAGAACAGGCAGATCGATGAAGTACACTGCTGTGGGGAGCAGCGGGCGGGTCAGGAGAGGTCCGCCACGCCATGTGGTCACCTCCCGGGCAGGCGGGGATTGAATTCATGTGGAAGTGGCTTTAACCAGCTCCACCACCAGGGAGGGCCTATGGTGTTATTTTTTAATCCTCACAAACATTTCTAGAAAAAAAATCTTTCAGAAAACTGAAGCTCAGCCAGTTGTCTTGTTCAGGTCTTATAGCTGGAAGGAGGTAAGACAGGAATTCAAGTACAGGTGGTTGACACAAGCCACTCAAAGCCATGGGCTTTGCTATGGCAATGGCAATGGGAGTGGTGCTCAAAATAAAATTGCTCAAACAATTAAAAGTAAAAACAGGGTCCTCCCTGGTGGTTAAACAATGGGTTAAAGCACAGAACTATGAAGCTAGCTGCAGCCACTTCAGCATGAGTTCAATCCCCTGCCAGAGTGGTGACCCACAAGGCTCATGTAGACCTCTCCTGTCTCACCTGCTGCTCCCCTCAGCAGTGTACTTCATCCTTCTACCTAATTTGCTCCCACTCTGTCTCTGATGAATGCTCACCACCCCTGCACCTCTGTCCTGTTCTGTATACAAAAATAAATCTTAAAAAAAAAATCCAGCCGGGAGGCACAGCTGGAGCAAGCAGCACTGGATAAGTACCCCCAACAACTCAAGGGTATGTCTAGGTCACACCTTCTGTCTACAACCCCCTCTCTAGTCTCCACTTGGAGGGGCTACACTCTGGTGTGAATGCTCAGCTTCTGTATGTCTTAAATTTCTGGGTTCAGATAACCAGTGAGAACTAAGTTAAAACCTATTTGTGACCAAGTCTCCTAATCTTTGCTATTTCCACTTAACTCTTGGTTCTTAGGCTCTTGTCAAGTACTGGGGGGCAGTGAGGGAGAGGGGGAATCCTTTTTTCTTTACCTCTTACACAATGATGGAACATGAGGTTAACGTGCACTCTTGGTGACCCTTCTCCAGTCATTTCAAATTTTATAATGGTTAAAAAAAAAGAAAAAACTGGTAATCAATTGATATTCTTAACATAATATAACTGAAACATCCAAGGTAATAAACTTGTCATTAACTGCTATAGATACAGAGAGAGGGCCTTTTTGTTGACTCCTTTTGAACACCACTCCAAAAAAAAAAAAAAAAAAAAAACCACACACTTTATGCTTTGGAGAAGAAGCATGTAATTCTCTAAAATTCCACCAGAGGGCACTATGTTCCCGTCACCCCAGCCAAGCCTCTAACTAATCCTGTAAACAAGTCTCCTGAGAATGGTTTAAGAGAAGTGGGGGGAGGGGGGAAAGGAGGCCAGGAAAAATACAGAACCAGCCTAAGTATTGCCCAAGCATCCAGAATACATACCCCTGGGCTGTTTGTTTCCCGTTAAAATTTGGCAAGTGACTATGATATAAACAGGGATCCACAGTCACCAATGGGGTGGGGTCATGGGGGAAGGATTAAGGAATCAGTGAGGATTCCTGTGGGAAATGCACCAACTGAAAGACACACTCTGACCCCAACAATGTTTTCACCCCAGTGGTGACTATCCTGAACTTTGCAAAAAGCTTCATCGATGTTCTAATCAATGTAAGGAACAAAAATTGGTCTATACCTAGCAAATAAAAAGGCAACGTACATAGGGAAATCTCAGATTCACAAAACAATGAAAGCAAGAACAGACCATTTCATGCACAAAGTGCTCTCCAAGGATTCCTTTCAAGGGAAGCTGCCTTACTGCATGTTTTCCTGGTAAACTGTTGACAATAAATATATGCAATGTTTGCTCTATTTGAGACCCTGGAGAAGCCACAGTGCAGCCTTCAGGGGAACCCGTGGGTCCCTGCACTCAGAGAGTACAGAGGGATTCAGGTTTGAGAGAAGTGGCCTGATAGTACAGAGGGATTCAGGTTTGAGAGAAGTGGCCTGTGAATGCAGCACCCATATTCTGGGGAGACAAGAAAGGGAAACAGAAACTGGCCCTCGGGGGGTTACACTTTGCAAGCTGTGTGTGATTGCAGCCAGCAGCTCCAAGCTGTCCAGTTGCAGCTTCCTTCTCTCCTGGAATGATTTGAAGATCTAATTCTAGAATTACAGGATTTATTCTCCCTGTTGTTAGAGCTAAGAAGAATTTAATTCTTTCCAACTTATGAGATGAAATTTGCACTAGGGCTCAAACAGACCCAAACCTTCAGTTATAAGGGACAGTTGGGGAAGTGGGTTCTTCCCATTGTCTCTGACTTTGAGGGGATTCGAAAATTCAAATCAGGCTAAAGAAACAGAGCTGACACTTAAACTTCTTATTTCCTAACCTGAGTTTATGAATATTAAACAATCAGACAGGATATAAAGAGTGATTTCTCGGTGCTTAAGTTAGATGATGAATTGAGGCAAACCTTGGTCTTCCTTCTTTAATGGTGTAGATTGAAATTTGAAAGCTTGGCCGGCCACCTGCCACTTGTCCCCAAAACATGGCTTAAGAGTAATGATGTTAACCTCCAGGGATTTTTTTTCTTTTCTTTCTTTTCTTTTTAACAACTATACTATGGTTTATTCTTTTGGAAAAAAACCGAAGCTGGGTTTTTTGTTTTTTTTTTAGATTTATTTATTTATGCATACAGAACTGGGGTACAGGCCAGAGGTGCAGGACCTGTGAGAGGATTCACTAGATACAGAGTGGGGAGCAGAACAGGCCAACTGATGAAATACACTGCTGAGGGGAGCAGCAGATAGGTCAGGAGAGGTTTCCTGTGATATGTGGGTCAGCTCTGGGGCAGGCGGGAATCGAACTCATGCGGAAGTGACTTCAGCTTCTTAGTGCCTTGCTTCCACCCACTGCGCCACCAGGGAGGGCCGAACTGATGTTGGTTTTAAAGAAAATAGTAGAATAGTTTACAATTCTGGGTTGGTGTAACAGGGTGTTCTTCAAGCCTAGGCCTCGGTAATGTTTCTTTGGCCCCATTTAAGATTTTTAAGAATCACTCAAATACAGACAAAATTCCATTTCCCAACCTGCACGTTGAGGCTGAAGTTTTCAGACCAGTGCTAACTCTCCCATATCCTGGTCTCTAATGAATGCAAGCAAGTCACTCTCAGATCACTAGATTAAAGGCTTCTGACCTACATAGGGAGAATGGGTCCTTGAAAAGAGAGAGAAAGCAACTGAGAGGCTCAGAGGTAAAACTCACGCAGTTTAGTCCTTAATTTCAGGCAGCCACACTGAAGAAATGCTTCCAGTTCTTGCCATTTCTACAGATCTGGCACTAAATCTTCACCTGTAACATTATTCTCCACTACCCGCACCCCCTGGACATAGGTACTCCACTCTAAGAGAGAAAAGCCTGACTTCAAAGTCATGTGATAGAACCCCTGTGGGTTTAGATACTGCTTGTACCCAGAGACAGAAGAGTTCATGGGTTCAAGCATTCTGATGCTCTTTTTATGGAGGGGGTAGAAAGGAGGTGGGCGGCAATTTAGAGAAGAGGGAGAAAGAACAGAGGGCAGCAGAGGCAGCAAAGTCAAACTGCATCAAGCAGGCCATTCTACTTTTAACTTCTGTAAAAGCCTTACACACTCTGGCTTCTGGGGGCAAACCAGTTAGTGACAGGATTTTTTTTTTTCTTTCTGCTTTTTCTTTCCTTATTCTCTTCTATGCTTTCCTGATCTGTCCTCACTGGGTCTCTGATTTGGGGTTTCACTAAATGTGGGGCCGACTGAGGATAAGGCCTCTTGCTCTGAAGTCTTAGAGGTCATGAATTCTAGGGCTTACTCTCACAAGGTGTGTGACTGGTCACAGGGTTGGATCAAAGCAACCCTTCCCCATTCTTGGAACAGCGGCTCAAAGCACAGTCTCTCTTGATGGTGCCGCTGCCATGTATGGTCAACAAACATCATTTATTGAACCGCCACCCTGGACCCTATTGGAGGGACAAAGCAGAACCAGCTTTGTTCAAGGAACATGAGACGCCTAGCAAGGGAAGCAGGCACTGCATGGCAAAGTCTAGTGCCATGGGCTCTAAGAACTGCCTTTGTGTCTCCCTCATCTATTTCCTGTTATGTCTGCTGTGGGCCCTCAACTAATGATGACTGCAGAAGGCGCTGGTTTAATGTAGGCAGTGTGGCAGATGGAAATTAACATCTTTTAAAATAAGAGCATCACCCTTCCCCTCATTTAAATGAACAATTTAAATTGAAGACTTGACAGAAAGAAAAGGAATAAAGACAGTTCACTAACACCAAGTCTGAGCCCACTTTCATAATTAACTAACGGTGGTGCATTACGCTCAATTAAGAAGTTGCACTTAATGGGTTGTTATGGGGAAGGAAATAATCCAGACTCTTCTGATTATCTTGGCCCATCAAAATTACAGTCACTGTTTTGCAGACCTTTATTATGTTCCAGGTACTATCCTAATCTCCTCTGCATATGCCATCACAATTGACCTTTACAACATACACAGTAGCTGTTATCCCTATTTGTGGCAAAGAACTGAGGCTTCATATGGTTAAGAAGTAAAGCTCTGTCTGACTGGAAACCCAGCCTTTCACCACCACATCAGAACACCTTAACACACAGCACCAAACTTCTGAGGACCCCTTACATTTGCAAAGGTCCTTACCCTACCCTTATGGAATGTCACCTTGTCTGAAACCTAACCATGCTGCCTCTGTCATTTAACAGCACTACAAGTGCTACACACTCCTAAAGGGGAGAGAGGCTGACCAGAGAAACCAAGTTGTGTGTATGTGGCCACAGGCTACATCGCTTTTCCATATTTGTGGTGCAAGAAATAACCAGAAGAACAAACTTCTTTCTTTCCTCTTCCAAAGCTATGGAAGCATGCCCTTTTGGTCTTCCAACAGAAAAAACAAACAAAACAACCTTAATCTCAAATACTAGGGGTTCTGAAAAATGCCATAAATTTCTGGCAATAAAAGCAAAAGCATTAAGTAACAGCTCTGGTAGTAATGAAAATACCGTGTGTGTGGTGCGTGTGTATACACATAATTACTGGACACCTGTTGACAAGCATCCATTTCAAGACTGCATCCACATGCACACTTTCTCAACATCACAGCAAGGCTGGGAGTAGCAAGGGAAGGGTATGTATCCTCATTATTCAGATTAAAAAGGCACAATGAAATATTTGATCAACAAAACCAGGGAAATTTGCTTAAGGAATTTTTGTTTGTTTGTTTAATGCACAGTTGGCTTCAGGGGACCTTGCAAACTCCTTCTTTTCTTTCAGCTGCCTTTGGGGAACAGTTTGCTCAAAGAATTTCAAATCTAATGGAAACTCAAATCTCTGCCTTGAACAGCTCCATTTGCAGAAGAGGAAACAGCCCAGAGGGGCCAAGAGCCTCGGCTCAGGTGTGGGATCAGCTTAGGTCTCCGCTAGGTGCTTTCCACCAAGACCTTCCTGTAGAAAGATCTAACACTGCACGTGGATGCCAAATGTGCACTCTCAGATTTCAGTTCACTTCCCCGAAACGCTGAGCCAGAAGGGCTCCTCCAAGTCTCCCTTGGGCAAGCCCGCACAGCCTCTCCATTGCCCGCGCCTCCCCCACAAACTCCAAGCTTGAGCCGGGAAAAGGTGGGACCGCGGGTTCTCCAACAAAAAAGGCAAAATGATGTCGCAGTGGACGCTTGTACGGGGGCTACCGCACGATCTCGTAACAGAGAGGCCTCTTATCCACCCGAAAGCTGGAGGGAGGGCGTTTTGCTGGGAGCCTACGGTCCGGGTGGGGGCTGCGGGGATTGCCCCCCGCGGCAGGAGGCACTGGTAGGCGGGGTTCTTCCCAGCGGTGCATGCCCGCCGCCCAGCGGCCCTTCCTTCCAGCCCTTCCCCCACACGCCCCCTCCCCCAAGGCCCTTTCCCTTTCTTTCTTTCCCTCCCCAGCCTCCTCGCCCCCACCCCGGCGCCCGCCCGGCTGCTCGCCCAATGGCCGCGGTGCCCCGGCGCGCATCAGCTGATCCTCCCGGCTCTCCGGCCGCTGGGAGCCAATCAGGGCGCCGGGGGCGGCCCGGGCCGGCGATAAAGGGCACCGGGCGGCGGGCGGCCCTGCAGAGCCTAGAATGGGAGAAGAGTGCAACGCCTGAGTAGTGCCGCCGCCCACTCTGCGCTCCTCTCGGCGCCTCGCCCTCCAGCCCGCCTGCCCAGCCGCTTGCTCGCCGCCCAGGTAAGCGCCCCCCACTCGCTGGCCGCGGGAGCGGCCCCGGGGTGACCCGGCCTGCACGCGGCCCGACCCTGGCCCGCCTTCCCGCCCCACTCTCCGCCGGGCCTCCGAGCGCATCGCCGGGGGTGGCTCCCGGCGCTCTCGGCTGGGGACTTGGGGCGCGCGCGTCACTCGACTGCTGGAGGGCGGGGAGTTGTTTTGATCTTCCTCTGGCTCCCGGCGGCCAAAGCGCCGCCCGCGCCTGGAGGCCGCCGGCCGGCGGGGCAGTGCTGCAGCTACCCGGGCTCCGCGCCCCGGTGGGAGAGGTGGATGGAGCAGCTGGATCCCGGGCAGGAGTCTGGCTCTCCTCCTTAACCGTGGCTCGGGTTCGGGGCACAGGGTGTGTGTGTGGGGGGGGGGGGCTGGCCTTAGTAACTATAAAGAGCCTTAGATCCTAGGTTGGAGCCAGTGGCGGTGAGCATGAGTGGTGTGCTGTCCCCTGTTGCGGGACCCAGGGTCCTTCTTCTGTGATTAAACAATGGGGCGCCCGCCGGGGCCGCGGCGTGGCGGGCAGGCGCGACAGCAGAGAGGTCTGACGGCGCAGGCGGAGGGAGCAATAACGCCGGTCCTTCCCGCCGCCCCGCTTTCACCCCTGCCCCCCAGCCTTGGCCCTCAGTGGAGGGGTATGCACCCCTGGGGCCAGGCCCTGAGATCCGGACGGGGGCCCGAGGGGCGGGGCGTCGACTTTGGGGACATTTCTGTGGGAAGGAGCTGCTCTCAAGGTGGATTATTCCAACTTCCCCGGGGGCGGGAAACGGGGAGCCCACCCCAGCCGCAAGTACGCGCAGACCACAAACGAAGATGAAGACGACCGGGAGTCACAGTCCTCGGGGACCCCCGCCAACTGCTTCGGCTTCGTCGCCTACTCAGTGAAATCCGGAGAGAAGTCGCGATTCAAGTTTAGAACATTAAGCCCCCAGCCGCCTGCGTACGGCAGCCCGGCCTGGCCGGAAGAGCGCTCCCTGACCCCGTCGCCATCACCATCGCCATCTCCTTCACCCAGAAAACTCCGGTGTGTGGACCTTCGAGAGCCGGATAAGGAGGAGAAGCACCACGAACACCACTCCAAACGGAGAAGAGCCAAAGAGAACCCCACCGCCAAAGAGGGCCCCAGCGAAGGCGCGCTTGACCTTCTGTGGCTGGGGTGAGTGAGGAAGCAAAGGAGGACCCCGGAACCACCGCCACAGCAGAAACAGCTCATACTCGGCCATCCCTTTGCCTTCACCACCATGTATATAAACTTGGCAGCTCGACGGCACCAGTTGATTTAGTAGAACAGACTGTTCGCGTTCACGTCTGCATACCCAACACAGCAGAGAGAGCCCAGCAGTGCTTAAGGGAGCAGTGGTTAGATGTGGTACTTCATAGGTTGGGGAGGATTGCTGGGGGTGTTTGGAGCAGAAAGGTCATGCTTGGGTTTTCCTTTCTGACCTTTAAAGGTGGGGGTGGGCAGGGAGGTTGAGCTCTCTTCTATCTAGGCTCAGTAGACAAAGGTATTTCTCTCCTCTAATTTGACGTGACAGAGGAGGTTCTCCTCTTCCCCGAGGGGAAGGGTGAGGCTGTTGGAGAGAGAAGCAGTTATGTTTTCAGCTGGGCAAACATGGACGGTTGCCCATAGAAACTTTGCCACTGTACTTCAGAAAGTTGCCCAAGTCTTTAGAGGAGAACAATGTGTTCCCTTTCCAGACACCCTGGGCTGGGGGTGGGGAGTGGGGAGGGATAGGTAGGATGTTGTTTCCTCCTGTGTTGAGGCTGGCTTTGTGTCTTTGGGTTTGTCTGTCAGGTTTTGTGGTGGTGAGGGAGTTTAAGTTTTCAACATGCCTTTTTGAAAATCCCAATCTTTTTTATTTAGAAGTGGGAATTGCCTAATTCCTTGAGAAGTGTTCTAATGGAAAGTCATAATTCATTCTCAAGCCTTCAGTCTACCTTCTGAAGCTAGAACTTGGCGTCAGACTTGAGACATTAATGGCAATGTGGGTCTCAGAATGCTGCTACTTGGGTGTCTGCTTTTATGTCTTGGGAATAGCCGCCAAACTGCAGTTCTCATATTTTTGTGACAGGACATTGCTTTTGTATCACATATACTTTGTTTCTGAACTTTTGTACTTTGTTTTCTTCTAACATCTTAAAGAAATAAAACAACTTCCCTATTGGGACTGTCCTGAGAAACTAAAACTTAGTCCTTATAACTGTGTATTTTAGCTGGGGAAACTTTACCAGGAAGTTTTTGTCCTCTGGAACCTTTATCTTCCTGAAAGAGTACATAAATATATCTTGGGGTGTGTGACTTCAAAAGGGAGGGGCTCCACTCCCACTGGGACTTCTTAATGTAATTTGTTGCTTTGAGTCACTCCTGCAGAGGATCAATTTTTGAATTGGTAGTCTTCAGTAGTCTTCATTTTCCCCCCCTTTCCAGAACACCTTCCACCATGGCCACTTCAGCAAGCTCCCAGTTAAACAAAGGCATCAAGCAGGTGTATATGTCCCTGCCTCAGGGTGAAAAGGTCCAAGCTATGTACATCTGGATCGATGGTACTGGAGAAGGCCTGCGCTGTAAGACCCGGACCCTGGACAGTGAGCCCAAGTGTATAGAAGGTGAGATAGAGCTTTGAGAGTACACACTGGCTGGGAGTAGTGTGAGGGTGGCCAGAGTCAGAGCAAGCCACTAGCTTTGGCCCATTACAGAAAGCTTTTCTCAAAGCATAGCAACAATGAATCGTTTTATTTAAACCAGACTCATATAAGCCAGCCAGTACCATGAAAAAAAAAAAAAAATTAAAGTCTGGGGTTAAAATAGGGGTTGGGGGATCTTAGAGACTTTGCTGACTTGGATGTCTCTTGTATTTAGCTGACTCCATGACACCCCCAGGAACCCAGGTTGAAAAGCACTGCTCTAACTTATGGCCTGTATTTTACATGTAGTTTGCAAACTCATGAAAAATTCTCATTCCTGTTGCTGAAGTTTGACATACAAAGCAAACCCTCTCACAAGTGGGTTTCTAAATCGAACTCGGGTTTGTTTCATTTTAGTTGATGACACTTTCGGAAATTCTGCAATTGTCAGCTTGCATATGCCACTAAGAGCTGGAGTTGTGACCTTCATTTTTTGGTCTAGAACAAGCCATAGTCCTCCTGGGGGACCAGAGGAGAAAAACTCACCTCTTACCTACTTTTAGGCTAACTTAAACGTTCACTCTAGAGTGAATGACTGTAATACAAAGCATGGATTGTACTACCCGCTGTGTGGCAGGTATTAGACAGGCACTAGGGACTTGGTGAGAGACTGGAATTAGTTGTCAGAGAACTCATCATCAACTGCAGAAAAGAAATCAGCCTTTAAAACATGGTGGGGAAAGTGGGTGAATGATCGGGGAGCTGCTTTGAGTAAAGTCACTCAGCCTAGTCCTCATGGGGGTACAATGTGAGCTGAAACAGTCCATGGGGGCACAAAGGGCATAAATTACCAAAGCAGCACAGGTGCCTCAGTAGGGGAATCAGAGAACCTTTGTCTTATTTCAGTGTTTTATATGAAGACTGACTTCCTGGAGAGGTCAGACTATTTCACTTTGTTTCCTTGGTGTCTCTTAGACTGTACTTGGGGTTATTATTTCTTTAAGAAAGTGGAAGCACTGGGAACTCAGCGGTCTGCGTAGTAATGGCGACATCTATTAAGCACTGATTATTTTTTTCCCTCCTCTTTTTTACTTAAGAATTGCCTGAGTGGAATTTTGATGGCTCTAGTACCTTCCAGTCTGAAGGTTCCAACAGTGACATGTATCTTGTCCCTGCTGCCATGTTTCGGGACCCTTTCCGCAAGGACCCCAACAAACTGGTGTTTTGTGAAGTCTTCAAGTACAACCGAAAGCCAGCAGGTGTGTGTCCGCCAGTGAAGCCGCCTCCCTCCCTGTCTGTGCATGCCGTGGGGGAAGGGGAGCCTTTCATTGTGACATTGGGAAACTAGACAGTGTATGGCCTGTTGTCCTGTGCTTTCCGCTACTGATTGCAGAACATTGGAATTTTCAAAATCTGCTCGCCAGCCCTGTTGTGCGCCAGTAAATGTTAATTAAGAGCACAGGTTGTGTGGTTATGACGTTGACTGTGAATCATGAATGGCAGTTTGGTAGCCCTGAACTTGGCCACATTATTTATCCCTTAGACCTACTACCTGATTTTTTAAAATAGGGAATATAGCAAATTCTCACCAGAATGTTTAGGAGACTCAGTGAGCTAATATGTACAAATAATTGAGGATGAGAATACATCAAATATCTCTCCACTCATTGGTTAAAATATGAGTATTCTGGTTGACTGAGAACACACATTTATTTGCCATGCAGTTTGTTACCACCACACCTTTCGGTTTTGTCTGGCTCGTCCCAGATTTTCAGCTGGTCATTTGCTTGAAACACTAGTTCCGTTTCTGTGGAGACCTCCTACACCGCCACCGCCAGTGAAACTTTCTGGCAAGTCACTAGTGACTCTGGGCCTTGACTGCCTTTGTTTTGATAGGCAACATCACATTGTGAGCAGCAGTTGGACTGTCGGCCAACTATCTCAACTTTTCATTTGTAAAATTGGAGGCTTTGAATACCACCTTGGGGTTGTTAGAGAGTTGTGGGGTTTTATTAAATACAGAGGATTTAAAGTGGTTCCCACGTGAAGCAGTCAGTCTGTACCTATTTTAAAAAGTTCCCTTCCAGTGGAACCTGTGTCATTGTCATGTTTTCTGTTCCAAGCCAGAACCATTCCAAGTTCTATATGTTTATTCAGTTTAAAATTAGAATAGCACTTCATATTCTCCCGAGGAATGTGAGGCTCCTAATCCACAAATAATTTCTCATAGGGACTGCAGATTTGGCTGTAAATGTGTGTGAAATTAGGAAGTGATTTCAACAACTCAAAGCAGCTGTCTTAGGAACAGGGGACTTAGGAGACTGACCTTTGGCACTTGTCCGACATCCAGAGAAGGTGAGAGGAGGCTCTGTCTGGCTCCTCTCTGGTGTGCAGCCCACTTCAGCCCTGGGCTGTCTTGTGAATCTCCGTACAGAAAGCTACCATGGCTTTTCCCATCTTCCCCTTTCAACTGAGGGGGCACAAAGCGGTTTACTGGGAAATTGCAACGTATAATCATCTCACCTGCATAGAATTCAAACACTTTGGGATGTGTTTGCCTATCTAATGGCATGTTCGCCTTATTATCTAGAGACCAATTTAAGGCACACCTGCAAACGGATAATGGACATGGTGAGCAACCAGCACCCCTGGTTTGGAATGGAGCAGGAATACACTCTCATGGGCACAGATGGCCACCCATTTGGCTGGCCCTCCAACGGCTTCCCTGGGCCGCAAGGTACGTCCCTTTGAGTGGTGAGCCTGTTTCTCAAGTGCTCAGTTGGCAAGTAAAGTGTCCCCAGAGGTGGGCGTAATGGCTTATAGATCAGAAAGCTGGGGGAGTTTTGAGACTAGCTGAGCATTTTGTAAAGAGCCCGTGTGTTGGCCACATCCAGATGTGGGTGTTTATGCATTAAATATGAGGGGAAATCTTTGGTCCCACTGAGGATGTGACCAGATAATCCCCCTGCCCTCCACCCTCGGCCCCCACTTCTGGTTGATGGCAGGGGTAGTTCCAAAGAACACCTGTTGCTAGCTTTCAAGTTCCTGGCTTTAGGCCACACATCTCCGGTGGGAGGAGGCTTCCTGGATTCCTCCCCGTGACTGTTTGTCCCCATGCCTCTGCAGGTCCCTACTACTGCGGCGTGGGCTCGGACAGAGCCTACGGCAGGGATATCGTCGAGGCTCATTACCGGGCCTGCTTATACGCCGGCATCAAGATCGGGGGCACAAATGCTGAGGTCATGCCTTCCCAGGTAAATGGCTCTAGTCTGTCACCCTCCCAGCCTCCGAGGATTTCCAGGTGGGTCGCGGGAACTTTTGGCTAGCAAAAACTGTTCCAGTACTCCTCATCCCCAAGCTTGGCGGGGGAGTAAATGGAAATGAGTTAGAGAAGAGATGAGAAAAGACCAAGTTTTGAAGCTTCCAAGTTTTGGGGGGGAGAGGGAAGGGGTCAACAGTGGCTTCATTTTAAAGAATAACTTCTTTAACCTCTTTCTCCGTAGTGGGAGTTCCAGATAGGACCCTGTGAAGGGATCGAAATGGGAGATCAGCTCTGGGTGGCCCGTTTCATCTTGCATCGTGTCTGTGAAGATTTCGGGGTGATTGCAACCTTTGACCCTAAGCCCATTCCCGGGAACTGGAATGGTGCCGGCTGCCACACCAACTTCAGCACCAAGGCCATGCGGGAGGAAAACGGCCTGAAGTAAGTGCCTGACCGAGGCCATCGTTCTCCCTGCAAGAATTCTTGTTGCGGATCTAGTGTCTGGGGAGTGAAATTTAGCTTGGCACTTGTCTTCAGACATTGACAGGAACATGAGTTCCTGTTTGGAAAACATCAAGTGCTCCCACAGGAAGAGAATTTGGGGGTACTGACAGGGAAGAGCTGGCAGTGATTTGCTTTTGAGATCTTTAATAAGCACTGAGTCGGTAATGGTATAGACCTGTGAGTGAACTTAATGCTGGGGCGGGCGGAGGTCAGGGCGGAGGCCAGACCCCGGGGCCCACGGACCACACTCCGCTCCTGGGGCTGGGTCCACCTGGGCCTGTGGAAAGCAGTGTTTGGTAGAGGAGTCCCTCCCTGCTCAGTCCCACACCTGCTGTCTCCTCTGCTCCCGAGGGGGCAGACTTCCGGGACACAGCCCGACCCCTTCTCTGTCTCCTAGGTTCATCGAGGAGGCCATCGACAGGCTGAGCAAACGGCACCAGTACCACATCCGTGCCTACGATCCCAAGGGGGGCCTGGACAATGCCCGGCGGCTGACTGGATTCCACGAAACCTCCAACATCCACGACTTTTCTGCCGGCGTGGCCAACCGCGGCGCCAGCATCCGCATCCCCCGGACTGTCGGCCAGGAGAAGAAGGGCTACTTCGAAGACCGCCGCCCCTCTGCCAACTGTGACCCCTTCTCGGTGACAGAAGCCCTCATCCGTACATGTCTTCTCAACGAAACTGGCGATGAGCCCTTCCAGTATAAAAACTAAGTGGACTGGACGTGCAGCCGTGAAATCCCTAATACTGCACCTCCTCTGCCACCCCTCTTTTGTCCTAATAGCTGTAACACAAAGGGCGGAATATCAAGGTGATCTTGTCATTCCTCACGCCCAGTTAATATCTCTTGCTTTCTTTGGCCAGGATAGAGGGGTCACGTTCTTAATCTCTTCATACCCACTCAACCCTCCTGCCCCTGTTTTCCCTTTCACCGAAGCTTTAGTTAGTGGGGAGGGGGGTGGGAAACATAACCACTGCTTCCATTTAATCAGGTGTGTGTGTCCAGTAGGCGTAGCTGTGCAGACAGAGGACATAGTGTTTGTGAAAGGAGGGGAAGACTGTTTTTCCTCCAAGGTAGCTGAGTGTGGGGAGAGCGGACCACTGACTGCATCTGGTCAGGTTAGCCTCAACCCCTCTTGGGAGGAGCTTGGGAAATTCCCTTTCTTCCAAGGTTATAACCAGCCTGCTATTGAAAACAAGAATGAGGAGAAGAGCAAAGGGGTGGGAGTCTAGAAAAGGTCCTCCCACCTGCTCCTGGGAGGCACCTTCAGGCCAGAACACAGCTCAGCATAGATGATGGATAGACCTACCTTAGACGGAAAAGTTCTTAACTGCTTGGTCCTCCATTTATAACACAAAGCAGAGTAGTATTTTTATATTTAAATGTAAAAACAAACAAAAAAATTATATATATATGGGTGTGTGGATATGTGTGTTTTTTTTTTCTAAAGGAGAAAAACCATCTGGTCTCCAGGGGCCAAATGTGAGGGGTGTGGTCTTGTTGGACAGGAGGGTCTCCTGGTTGGGATTGTGGGGGGTAAAAATTGACTGTCTAGGGCTGTTAGCAACCCCCGCCCACAATTGCTTCCAAGGTGTCTGGCCATATCCACCCTCCTGAAGAGGTGGACACAGGCCAAGTAACTGGGGAAGCAGGTCCCGGCAGTCAGTCACGTGGGCCGTACATTGGTCTCAAACACACATGGACTTGAACACACGAGTTTAAAGATCTGAGTTGGCTGGTCAACTTGAGCATGTTGCTGACAAAGGGTTTGGGGGTTATTTTTCTGGTGGGACTAGCATGTCACTAAAGCAGGCCTTTTGATACATTAAATTTTTTTTAAAAGCAAAACAAGGTTAGAATTTACTCCTATTTGTAGGGTTTCTAAGTCTTTGTTTTACAGAATTGCTTCTTTGCTTAACTCGCATCCCTGCTCTTGGGAGAAGCAGGGGGCAGGACTAGAGTCAGAACACTTCTAATTTTGTATCCTGGTGTCTGTTCTCTGAGTGTGAAATACTTTGTTAAGATTCCTTAGAAATTATTTTCCCTTTAATAAAAATCAGGCCCCACCTCACCCTAATTTTTCCTTACTGCTCGGGGGCTGTCTTTCTGCTGTCTGTGGCCAGCCAGGTGCAGTTCCTCTTGCCAGGATTCCTGATGCCTTGTACAATGTGTTCAGAGTTACCTACTCGGTGTAAACAAACTATGTTAACAACCCAGAGCTGCTCATATAAATCAATCTAACATTTCTAAGATTTCTTCTGACTTGATTCTTTGTGATTCTTTTAAATCTCAAGTGCCATTTTATTCCTTTCATGTCAAAAAAAGGTATTTTTTAAAAAGCAACAAAGCTTTATCTGTTACTGGGATTTGTAAAATCTTGAACTATATTGCCTACTGGCTCTTCTATGGATGTGGGTATTTGGGATTCCTAGATTAAGGCGTAAACCAGCTGCTGTATTAGGTTGTAAATACAAACTCCAAGCTTCTCTCAGTGCTTCTGACCTTGGTGGCTTACCCTTACTGTAATACCACTGGCTTAATTCTATAGCGCCTAAGTAATATCTTAGCAGTTCTCACTATCCTTGTTGGTCTTGATTTCATCCTCTGCTGGTGATTCATCTAAACAGCAAATATTGCCATGTTGCTACCCTGGGTGGAAAGCCTGGGATAGGTGGGGGGTAAGGCAGCCAGATCCAACTTGCCTTTCCCTACACTGTACCAGTGAGCTACCTCGGACTCTCCTGTAGCCCATACAGACACCTCTGAGCCTTTGCTCCTGATCCATTTACCTGTAAGTCTTATCGTACCTGGCTTATCTCTCCATCTTGGCACGTTTCCATACCAGGCTGGGCAGAAGCCCTGCAGCTCTGCTGCTGTGCACATACCTGATAGCACTTACTTCCAACACATTAGCCTGTGTGCCAGGTATTGCAGGCAAGGGTTATTCCCACCTTTAGGAGGTACTGTCCTCAGTTTGGAGCTAACTGGGACCTGCTAGGCAGCTTAGAGGTGACACTTTCAGACTAGTGTATGTTTTGCTTTAGTCACAGGGACTTCTGGGTAGCTGGGGTTTTTTTAGGAAGGCTGGCCTTTGACATACTTTTCAGAGTAGGATAATCTTACAAGCAATTGGATAGAACTGTTAATTGGACTAATCTATTCTCAGGATAGATACTGGTTCTAGGAAAGGGTTTAACGACTTGACTTCTGAATTGTTGCAACTTGAAAAATTCCACAGGTGGGCTTGTAGGGAAGCAAAAATCTGCCATCCAAGGCATGTCTTTGGCAAAAGGTTTATTTCATAAGAAGCCTGGATGGAAAGTGCTTATGGTATTTACATCAAATCTGTTGGGTCTTTTCAGGAGACTCCTCCCTCTTATCTCTGCAAGGGAGGAGGCAGAAATGCCTTTGTTTTCCCCAATAAATGTCCTGTCTGGATTCCCATTTCTTCCTCCCTTCTCCCCTGTCCTAGTAAGCTAATCAAAATGGCATCTGAAGCCACATGTGGTGAGTTACTCAGGCTCCCAAGTGCACAGGAAGTAGACCCTTTATTGAACTTCTTATTGGCTTTTTCTCATAAAAATGAGATTATCTTACCAATTAATGTGCTGAATATTGCTGGCTTGTACCTTTCTGCAGCCCAATGATGAGTGCCCTTTGCCCTCAGCCTCTTCCTGGTTTTGTTGGTAACTCATGAGGTCACTTTTCAGTGGAAGCTCTCCATCCATCTCCAGCCAACCTGGCTTCCCTTCATGGGGCCATCCTCACAGGTCTTGGGGGATTATGTATTTTGCACAGTGCTGCACTAGATTACAATTAATAATCTCCACACTTTGCTCATTGTAAGCAGTTCACCAATGGAAAGGACGAAAGTATGTGGAAGCGAATGCCTAATACGATCCTTTTGTGGAAACTAGGGTATTTCCTTCTCCACCCTCCGGAGTTAGCTTTGACCTACAGGTCACAGTGCAATCCCTTGTGTTTGTAAGGGTTACTTTTATAGCTCATTGACACAATAGACACTGGGTTACTGGATCACTATCAGTGATAGATAAGACTGACACCCAAGCCTTCAACCTTACAGAGACAGGCCATTATTCACAAAAGGAGCTCTCCATTTTAAGCACTTTCAGTTGGCTTAATTTCATCCTGCCACTTAGTTGAATAAAAGCTAAATGCACATGCTTACAAGGCTCCAGGATCCCTGGGTGGGTACTGTTAGGACCAGGTGCAAAGCCAGATACGTGCTGCTGCTGGGTGCGATGGGACAGAGATGGGAAGCAGTACCCACAGCTGGCTCCAGACAGCTCCCAAAGGTGTCACTTAGATAATCCCAACTCCTGCTTGGTGCTTAAAGTTGCAAAGTTTGGAAAGCATCCCAAAGAAAGTGGATATCCCCATCAACAACATGAAGGCACAGACCTGTTTTTCATTCTGACCACTCTCCCCAGCTCAGTCACTGTGCCTGCAGTACTTGTCAAAAGAGTTATATCCAGTCTACCACACTGAACTTCAGCTTGCCCAGCTCAAACCCATGAGGACTTGGTTCTTTGGCTGTTTTAATTCTGGCTGTGGCAGTAAGGTCAAGTTCTGTTTTACTGAGTTTAAGGCTTGTTTGTTTAATGCTGGCTGGAATTGGGCTGCCAAGAACCTCAAGTTGCTTAAAGTTAGAGCCAGTAGAAAGTGGCAATTCATCACAATTCCAAAGCCTTCAGGTAGGCACTATTGTAAACAATGTAAGCAGATTAGAACCTTACATTTTTCACCTTTTATTTCAATCCCAACCTCTCATTACAAAGTCGTTGTTGATTTTAGCGTATGCAAGTACACATATACACAAACATGCATAGGGCAGACACAGCCACATTTGTGACATGCAAATGTGGGCATATAAAGAAACAATGCAGGTATATTATTACATGAGACTTTTGCTCAAGATACAGTATCACTACAGAGACAGGAATCTATAACTTCCAGAAGCAGCACTCACTCAAGATAATTCACTGGTCTGAGAATCTATCTCTAGGAGAGGAAAGCAGGATGTAGAAGCTAGAGTTCTTAATACAGGGTTCTTCTGCTAACTGTCTCCAATGCTTCGTGGTCAGGGGTTTCCAGTGTAATGTCAACTGCTTATGTCACTCACTGCCTCGAGCCCCTCTGGAGGGAGTGGGTGATGCCCTAGCCAGTGCTGTAAAGTGTCTACACAGTGTCTGTTATCCCTTGTTGAGTTTCGTTTGTGGGAACTTGGACCTCAGCAAGCTGTCCTTTTCCTCAGGGGTTTTAGCTCAAGCACTTGCATTGTAAGACTACCATGAGTGACCACTTGCCCAGCTCCCCCACTGCGTGGGCGCCAATAGATACGTGACTTGAACTCCAGTGGACATGCAGGCTCAGCCCAAATCTGAGATCTGTGTGGAGGCCTTCTGCATTTTCCTCCCCATCAAGGAGCACAAAAAGGCCTTCCTGTGATTCTACTGCTCCAATGATGGTAAATGAAAGGGACTTTCGGGATGCCTCTAAAATTTAGTAAAATTTTGAGTCGATAGGTACTATTTTTGATGTTTGGGTATGAACATATGAGATGGAGTCAAGCCTTCATGTCTTGCCTTGTTTTACAACTGAAAGAAAGCTGTTAGCATCCCCTGAGACTAGTGGGCTGGTGCTCTGTATACAATTTCTCCTCAAGCAATTTGGTGAACTGTTTTGGCGTCTGTGCTCAGCTCATGCTTATGTGAAGTACAATATTGCCATGGTTGAGGGCAGGGAGAGGACTTTTTTATTTTGAAAAAGTGAATACGTTTCTATCTCTGGGAAGGAATCTATGTTATCTTAGGGGCTCAATTTAGAAGAGAGATAATAAAGTAGAAGAATCTAGTTTCCCAGTGTTTCTTTTATAAGAGAGGGTCATAAAATGATTGTGCTGGGATTTTCCTGCCAAACAGCCTACCACCAGATTCATTTCAAGGTGGGCGTAGCAGCCAGAAGGTGCCAACGTAGGGGCATTTTTTATAAATAAATTCTGGCCTAATCATGGAAGGCACTTAGCCAAGTAAGCCTTCAGTAAATGTTTGCTGAATTAAGTTGTTGGAGGAAGCTCACTACTATATCACCAGCTAAAGAGAGTGAATGCAAGTTGGGGTGGGGGTGTAACAGTGTACTCACATATATTAATGTGATTTGTGGGGTAGTCACCCCACTCTCCCAGTTACCCCAAATTACATGGCTCAGAAATCTCTGTGATGGCGAATGCATGGCCCTTGGGGATGATCAACCTTATGGGTATACCGTGGAAGTAGCTTGAGTCTTTCAGGTTCCTCCCTACCCATGGAGAGGATGAAATCCCTTCCAGATTTCAGTTCTGCACTGTGAACCATCCAACAATGAAATGAAGAAGTTCTGGGTGGAACTTGTTTTCCGGGAGGATAAGAAAGCTCTGCTCATTGATGATTACTTATCGATCAAGGTTCACAGCTGATCAAAAAGTTAGGTGTGTAGAAGTATGGAAGAAATGGACAAGCCAGATCTTCATGCAGCATTTTGTTTGAGGGAAAAAAAAAAACAACATATAGAGTGACATTTTAGTACGAATAGTAATCACGATATTTAACCATAAAGGGACTGGAAACTCCCAGAGAAGCAGATGTCATGTCTGGCCAACTCCAAACTTCAGGTGCAGGGTCCCAAAGCCAGAAACTAATCTTCCTCATGGAGGTCAGCCCAGACCTCTCTAACCCTGAGGGATGGTTCTCACTGAAAGCATCCCGTGCATATTAGCTATTGAAAGTCAAGTGCATGATGAATTGCATAACATTACCCCAACACATAGCTGTTGTTTCATGCAGTTTTCTAGGATTTGGAGTCTGGGTGGTTCTGCCCCTGAGTTTCTTTGGAATTACAAAGGGGTGCAGTCTATAATGTTTTTGGGGGGGGGTTGAAAGGGGTGTTCTGTTATTTTTTTCCTTTTATTAACTTTTTACTTTTATTACATTGCTGTTCATTTTTCTTAAAGATTGATTTATTTATTCACACAGAAATTATTCATACAGAATTTGCATGAGAGGATTCACTAGAGACAAAGTAGGGAGCAGAGCAGGCAGATTGATGAAGTATACTGCTCAGGGGAGCAGTGAGTGGGTGAGTCAGGAGAGGTCTGCAGGGCCATGTTGGTCAGCTCTTGGACCAGGGATTGAAACTCCCACTGAAGCAGCTGTGGTTAGCTTTGCAGTGCTTTAAACTATTATGCCACCAGAGAGGGCCCCTGGTATTTGATTTCTCCCATTAGGTGTAGTAATATCTCACTACCACATCACCTGTGAACTGTCACCATGGTCGCTTGTGCTATGCCCTCCCCTGTTTTTATCCTTTTTCCTCCCTATCTCTTGCTTTAAGCCTCAAATCTATTGTTGTCTACAAGTTTCTCTAAGATATGGAAACAACCCAAATGCCCAAAACCATATGACTGGATCAGGAAGATGAGGCATATATACATGA